AGGGAAAAATTCGAAACCTATTGATTTTCAATCTTAAGGGTGTACTAGACTTAAAACAACTCTTATCTGAATAACTTCCCAGAAGAGCCGCAGAAATTCGCGTTACAATTTTTAATTTCGTGTTTTTGGAAAAGGAATTTTTAATTTTTTCTAAGATTTTTTATAATAAAGTCGCTTAAAAAATTTTTTTAGGATACTTTTCTTTTCTTTGCTTGAAATAACTTTAAAAAATAACACCGAACCTTTAAATTCGTTAAATATTCCACTTTATTAGTTAATAACCGTATTTTTAGAAAAGGGACCACTTTGTCGGAGATCCATTATTTTGTCATTGTTAAAAAATGAGGGGGGGGGGGAATTCGAAACCTATTGATTTTCAATCTTAAGGGTGCACTAGACTTAAAACAACTATTATCTGAATAACTTCCCAGAAGAACCACAGATATTCATATTACAGTCTTTGATTTCGTTTTTCTCGAAATTACGTATTTGATACTCCAAACTTTAAAATTCTGTAACTCATCGAATTTTTCACCAAAAAGGTTGTAAGACCACTCAAAATTTTCCAAATTTTGTCAGGAATTCGCCCATATACATAAGTCCAATAGTGCCAAAGTGGTCCCTTTTCATGCGGACGTCCACATATATCTGTCTCGTATTAAAAAATGTTTTATTAATTTCTTAATTTTAAGTACTTTGTGGTGAGTAAATATGTTTGAAAATGTACTCAATTCCCACAAAACTCACTGGGTAGTTAATGAAATTAAAATTTCTTTAGTTAATTTTAATAAGCTAAATGTTTTATTATTTATATTTTTATTTACTTTTATTATATTTAATAATTTTGTGAGGTTATTTCCTTAAATTTTTTCTAGTACAAGACATATTTGCATCACAGTTTCAATTCCTTTAATAATTTGGGTAAGAATAATAATTTTTGGGTGGGTTAATTTTTTTAATCATATATTGGTTCATTTAACTCCTCAAGGGACACCAGATGTTTTAATACCTTTTATAGTAATAATTGAGTTTATTAGGAATATTATTCGTCCTTTAACTTTATCAGTTCGATTATCTGCTAATATCATTGCAATTACTTTAATAAGACAATCTCATGAAATATTGGGGATTATGGTATTTTTACTAGTTTTAATTCAATGTATTTTGATAGTGTAAGAAGTTGCTGTTTCTTTTATTCAATCTTATGTTTATTCTATTTTAAGAGTTTTATATTCTTCAGAAACTAATTATGAAAATATTACATAATTTGATTATTCATTTAGTAACGGTGAGACCTTGACCTATTTTGAGATCATTTAGAGTTATGAGAACTATAATTGGAGGAATTATATTATTTAGGGATAAATTTATTTATTTAATAAATTTAGGTCTTTTAGCAATTATTTTATGTAGCATTCAATGGTGACGAGATGTAATTCGTGAAGGAACTTTTCAAGGGAGACATTTAAGACGAGTTGTGGATGGGTTAAAATTAGGGATAATATTATTTATTTTATCTGAAGTTATATATTTTTTATCATTTTTTTGAACTTTTTTTCATTCATCTTTATTACCAAATATTGAAGTTGGAGGAGTTTGACCTCCAAGGAATATTCTTCAATTTGATCCTTTCCAGCTACCTTTGTTAAATACAGTAATTTTGTTGTCATCTGGAGTCTTAGTAACTTGAAGGCATTACAGGATTTTAAATAGAGATAATGAAAGAAGGCAAGTAGGGCTTTTTGGAACAATTATATTAGGAATGGTATTTTCAATAATTCAGTATGTAGAATATTATGAGGCTACTTTTTCTATAAGGGATTCTGTTTTTGGTTCTATTTTTTTTAACAACTGGATTTCATGGGGGGCATGTAATTATTGGTAAAATTTTTTTATTAGTTATTTTAATTCGATTAAGGTATAATCATTTAAATGAGTTTCATCATTTTGGGTTTGAGGCTGCTTCATGGTACTGACATTTTGTTGATGTAGTATGAATTTTTGTTTATACTTTAGTTTATTGGTGACATTGGTAATTTTAATTTTTATATGTATATATTTATTATTTCCAATATTATTATTATAATTTTAGGGGAAGTAATTATGGGGGTTAATTTCATTTTATCTAAAAAAATATATAAGTGTCGGAATAAGATATCTTCTTTTGAATGTGGGTTTGATCCTATGTCGTATAGAATGGTACCTTTTTCTATTCAATTTTATTTAATTAGAATTATTTTTTAAATTTTTGATGTGGAAATTACTTTATTTTATCTAAAGTTATTTTAATTTAAGAAAAATAATTTTTTTATAAATATAACTTTTGTGTAATTATACTAATTTTAATTTTAGGTCTTTATTATGAATTTAAAAAAGGGTCATTAAATTGATTTTAGTAATTGGATAAATATAAAGTTTTAGAATTTAATTTCGACCTAAATATATAGTTAAAGTAACTTATTCAAGAAGTTTTTTTGAGGGAGAAAGGGGGTATTAAAATTAAGTATAAAAATTTGTATTTTGGGGGGGGTATAAAAATTTTTTTTTTGTCTATTGTTAGATTATGAATCTAAAAGTTTAATTAACTTATTTTTATTAAATAATTTTAAGTTAATAAGACTATTAATTTTCAAAGTTAAAAGAATAAAAATTTTTATAAATTATTTTAATATGTCAGATTAGTGCAATGAATTTAAGTTTCATAAATGAAATAAGTATTTTTATTAAAAATTTATGAAATATATTGGTTAGAGTATTTAGTAAGAAGTTTAATTGTTATTATTATAGTATTAATTGGAGTAGCTTTTTTAACTTTATTAGAACGAAAAATTTTAGGGTATGTTCAAATTCGTAAAAGGCCTAATAAAATTTTATTTAAAGGTATTTTACAGCCAATTAGAGATGCTTTAAAGTTATTAAGAAAAGAGTTATTTTTTATTAAAAACTTAAATTACATAATTTATTTTTTAAGACCTTGTTTAAGGTTGTTACTAATATTAATATTATGAATTATTATACCTAATTTTTTTAATATAAGAATTAGGGAGGTAAGAGTTTTATTGTTTATTTGTTTTTTGAGGTTAGGAGTTTATATAATGATATTGAGAGGGTGGTCTTCAAATTCCTTATATTCAATATTACACTGAGAAAACTGGATATTAAAACTCTTAATATACTAGATATTAAGAAAAGATGTTAATGCATAATGTTAATATTTTTAGTTAGGGTAGTGGCGGAATTGAATCGCACTCCTTTTTAATACAGAATATACAGCAGGGGGATTTGTGTTAATTTTTTTTATCTAAGTATGGGATAATTATATTAATAAGTTATTTATTTATACTATTTTATTTTATATTAAATATTAATAGTATTAGAATAGTGGGGAGAGTGGGGATGATAATTTTAATTATTTTATTTCGAGGGAGATTTCCTCGGATTCGATATGATAAACTTATAACATTAATTTGGAAAAGATTTTTAGTTGTAATTTTAAATTATTTAATTTTTTTAAACTTTATTAAATGAATTATATTAATTACATATTAATAGTAAAAGGTTTAAAGATTTAAGTTAATGAGTTTGTTAAAATATGTATTTTGAATATACATTAAAGAGATTAAAATTTTCTATTAACTTAAAATAAAAATTAAAGTTATAATTAGTAGGAGTAGTATGAATATATTTATTAAATTATATAAAAAATATGAAGGAGGCATTTCACGTCAGAAATATCACGATTTGCAAAGGGTATGCCGATTTTCGCAAAACTTCGTGGGATTATAGTTCTATATAAAAGACTTCTATTCCCCAATTTTTTCAAAAAAAAATTCAAAATTGTTGAAGATACGCCATTTTGAATTTTAATATTAATTTTATAAAATTTTGAATATCTCGGAATATTGTTTATGGATTTTTATGAAATTTACACATTTTTTAGGTAAAAGTATGTACTTTAAAATGCAAATAAAGTTAATAAAAAAAATTAATTTTTAAATAAAAAAATTTAAAAAAAATTTTTTAAACAATTTTTTGTTTATTTACTCCTCTTTGAGAAAAATGTTATTAACATATTTGGATTCCTTATGAATTCACCTTTAATTTCATAAAAAAATTGATGGAAACTCAACTGGTTCCGGAGATATTAAATTTTTTGTAAAAAAAGCGTCGCCGCGCCATAGCATCATACCTCACAAGTCGCGCAGTACGTTACCGCAGTCGTGCATTGCTGCTGTAACTATGACTATTTTTTACAAAAAATTCAATATCTCCGGAACCAGTTGAGTCTCCATCAATTTTTTTTATGAAATTAAAGGTGAATTCATAAGGAATCCAAATATGTTAATAACATTTTTCTCAGAGAGGAGTAAATAAACAAAAAATTGTTTAAAAAATTTTTTTTTAATTTTTTTATTTAAAAATTAATTTTTTTTATTAACTTTATTTGCATTTTAAAGTACATACTTTTACCTGAAAAATGTGTAAATTTTATAAAAATCCATAAACAATATTCCGAGATATTCAAAATTTTATAAAATTAATATTAAAATTCAAAATGGCGTATCTTCAACAATTTTGAATTTTTTTTTGAAAAAATTTAGGGGAAAGAAGTCTCTTATATAGAACTATAATCCCACGAAGTTTTGCGAAAATCGGCATACCCTTTGCAAATCGTGATATTTCTGACGTGAAATGCCTCGAAGATAAAATTTTTTTTTGTTTAAAAAATATGAAGCTAAATATTAATTTAGTAAAAAATTTATTTCATATTGTTTCGTTTAAATGAAATAATTTATTATAAAATTTATTGAAAAATATAGTTGCCTTAAAAATATAAAATTTTTACAAATAGGGATGATGTTATATAATAGTCAGGAATTAAAATAAGTTGTATGGTTTAAGGAGTTTAAAAAGAATAATATTCTATATATTATTGAATAGTGGATAAAATTTTTTCTCTCTAAATTTAAGATTCTTGTATCAATTCTGTTAAATCTTAGTCAATTAATTAAGTTACCAAAAATAATAGATATAATAAATAATATGAAAATAGAAAAATTTATTAAAAAATTATCTTTTTTAAGAATTATAGGGCTAGAGTGTGGTATATTGAAGGTTAAATAAAATATGAGTCGAAAAGAATAAAAAATAGTTAACGAGATAGAAAAATATATTAAAGTTATAATAATTGGGTTGATTATGTAATTAAGTGTTATTTTAAATATTAAATCTTTAGAGTAAAATCCTGAGAGGAAAGGAAAGCCACAGAGTGATAAATTAGAGTAGTTAAAAAATATAATTACTAAAGGAGATTCATAAATTAAGGAGCCTATTAATCGAATATCTTGTAAATTTATTAAAAAATGAATCATGATTCCTGAACATAAAAATAATAAAGATTTAAATATAGCGTGAGAAATAAGATGGAAAAATACATAATTTGGTAGTTGATAGGCTAATATATGGATTATTAAGCCTAATTGACTTAAAGTTGAAAAAGCAATAATTTTTTTTAAATCAAATTCAAATATAGCATTTATTTTAGCTAGTAGTAAGGTTACTAATCCAATAATTAAAAGGGGTAAGGTTATTTTTGTAAATATAAAATTGAATCGAATTATCGAAAAATTTCAGGATCTAAAATTAATACCTAGAAAAATGAGGATTAAAAGTATAACATCACCAATTCGATTAGTTAGTAAGGTTAATATACCAGAGTTGAAAGAATTTGAAGATTGATAGTAAATAATTAAACAAAAAGAAATTAATCCTAATTTTATATTTATTAAAGAAATAATATTTCATTTAATAAAAAAAATAGATTTAAAAAAAATTAATGTTAATCTATAAAAAAAAGTTAGTCTTCTTAAAACAAATAAAGAATTAAAATAAAGGGAGTTAATTATAATTTAAAATATTTTTAGATTTATTCTTGATTCCACAAATCAATATTTTAAATTTAAATTATTTAAATAATAAAAATTTACTGTTATAATAAATAAAAGGATTAGGTGGAGTAATAAAGCTAATAATTCTTGTATTGAGATTGAAATAAATATGTTAATGTTTTTATTTAAAATTCCATGTTGTGTTGTTATAAAAAAATATATTGAGTATAAAACACTTGTGAATCTTAAAATTATAATTAAAGGAATTAAATTTAGTCTGAAATTTAAGATTCTATTAATTAATAAAATTTCACTAATTAAATTAAGAGAAGGGGGGGCTCCTATATTAAAAATATTTAAGATAAATCAGAATAAAGTTAAGGAAGGGGTGATATTTATTAAACCTTTATTTAGAAGTATTCTTCGTGATTTTAGACGTCTGTAAGAGATATTTACTAAAAAAAATAAAGCAGATGAACATAAACCATGACTAATTATTATAATTAAGCTACCTAGGATTTCTGTTAATCTTATAGAAATTAAACCAGTAACTATTAGGCTTATATGAACTACAGATGAGTAGGCTACTAATTTTTTTATATCAATTTGTTTTATACAAATTAAATAGGTTAATAATGCTCCTAAAAGTCTTAGGGTAGAAATAAAGAAGTTATAAATTGAGTTTAAATATTCTGAAATAAATATTATTCGTAAAATACCGTATCCTCCTAATTTTAATACAATGGCAGCTAAAATTATGGATCCTGTTACCAGGGCTTCTACATGAGCTTTAGGTAATCAAAGGTGTAAAAAAAATTGTGAGTTTAACTAAAAATGGGAGTAATATAATATATAGGTAAAAATAAATATTTTTTAAAAAATTTAAATTTATTAATAAAATGATGTTCATAAAATTAGTTATAGAGTATTATTTAATTAGAATAATTATTAAAGGTAAGGAAGTAAATAAGGTGTAAATAAGTATATACATTCCTGCTTCTATACGTTCAAATTGAGCTCCTCACCCCAAAATTAAAAATAATGTTAGGATTATTCTTGCTTCAAAGAAAATATAAAATTTTAATTTACTATTTATCACGATAACAATATTTTTCTATATAAATTAAAAATTTACATCTCCAATTATTGATTACCAGAAAATTTTATGAAAAAATTTCTTTTGTGCAAAACAAGAAGGAAAAATGAAAAATATGTTATTTAATAATGAGTCAACAATTTATAGATTCCATGAATATATAATTATGAGAAAAGCAAAAAAAAATAAAAAGAATTCGTATGTAAATTAGTTTTACTTTAACTTTTCAGGTATAATTTAATTATTTTGTTTTAATTTTTATAATAGTTTTAAATTAATATTTAATATTTTTAATACGTTAGGTATTAAAAAAAGTGTTTGTTTTAATTTTTTGGATGATTGTTAACATTTAAATAGATATGTGACCTGGACAGTGAAAAGGGACCTTACGTGCGAAAACAAGTTTTCGAGAAAACAGTAGTTAATGATAAATCGTCCAAACGCCCGTCCTGCCGGAAGGATGTCCCGAAAAAAAGGCTTTTAAAAAAAGGGAATTCAACTTTTCTTTTCTGGCACTCTTTGGTGTTAAAGTAGACGAAAAGACGAAAAAATACATATTTTTGACTTTTTAAAATAATAATTTAAACCATTTTTCAAAGCCTTCAAACTTGCTATGTTTTTAAACAGTGAAAAAAACATTTTTTCGTAAATTTAATGTAAAATCCCCAAAAATCAATATTTTTTGACCGGACAAGTCTCTTTCCCTTCAGAAACGTTCAAAGAATGAAACCTAATTGTTCAATTAAAAAAAAATTCATTTTTAATATTGTTCAGTATATCTGAGTATAGACTCAGGCGCGAGTCTCTTAGAAATTGCTCTATAAAATTAATATGGAAGCAGATAAATATAAAACTAAATATATCGTTGGAAAGGTAATGAAACAAGCTTTCAAATGATGTAAATATCGAGTCTTTAAATTTATAAACCTGGGCTAGGCAATCTCTTAAATAAAGCGAAAAGCGTCCTGCCGGCAGGACCGGGCTTCGTCATTCTGCGACTAAAAATTATGTGAATTTTTGGAACATGTAACTTCTTCAAACTACCCAGCCCTTAGTTTTGAACTTACAAGCTCGATATTTATATGCGCTGAAAGCTTGTTTTGTTGCCTTTCCAATGGTATATATCATTTTTTATTTATCTGAATCCATGTTAGTTTTCTTTAGTGATTTCGGAGGGACTCACCTGAGTCTTTTTCGTCCTGCCGGAAGGACGTTGGACGATCTATCATTAAAGTTTATCTTAGAAAAACCCTTGTAACTTTTTTAAATATTAATATTTTTTAATCAATTTAGGCTTATTTTCTTCACCGTGGATCACGGTATCAAAATAAAAAACATAAAAGTAATGCAATTTTTTTTTTAATAATTGTTTATATAAATTAATAACAAACTCCCCAAACATAGGAAAAATAATCTTAGTTTTCTAAATAGCAACAATAAGTTTAAATAAGTGACACATGTTTGTAAAGGTTTTCGAGGCCACTGATTACGAATATGATGTTAAATTGACAATTTGACATTTGAAAGCCGTCAACTTCTCGAAAAAGTGATCGTTTTTTATAAAAAAAGGCAGTAATAAGGTTTTTGAGGTCGTTGATTACGAATATGATATCAAATTTTAATTTTAAATGTTGACAGTTGTCAAAGAAACTGTCAACTTTTCAAAATGATAAAAAATTATCGTCTTCGTTATTTTAATTTGTATAATAACAAAAAAATCAGTTTTTTCGTATTTTTACTCTTGTTTCTTTTGACTTTAAAAAATTTTTTTAAACACTTCTAATCAACTTATGACTTTTTGGTTTTCACCATCTTAAAGAGCGTTTCACACTCTATCCGAATCGACAAAAAAGTAAAAAATGATTTTTTGACACGTAAGGTCCCTTTTCATAGACCAGGTCACATATAATTATATAAAATATGTACATAACTTATATTTATTTTTTTAATCTTTCTTTTTTTATTTAGCATTTATTATGTTTTGTCTACTATTTATTAGGTACATATATTATACATTATTTATTATATTTATCTTTACTTTTTGCGATAGAAAGTTTTTATCTAGAATAGCGAGAAGTTTCTCTAGAATAGCGAAAATTTTAACTGAAGTAACTAAAAATTTAGTCAATATAATGAAATTTTAATCTCTTCGAGGTAAAGCTTTCCGTTTATTTATTTTTTCTTTATTTATTCTTTATTATGTATTATAGATTATTGATTATAGTTTATACAATATATTATATATATATATTTATTTTGTGGCTTGTGGAGTGAGTAAATTTTACGAGTGAACACACATTTCATGTTTTTCTAATTCGTCACGCCACGCTGCTATATGGTGAGAAAGGTTCAGTTTACACGGTCATAACATCGCGTGAAATTGAAAAATCTCGTGACTCTCGACAACCGCAGGACAAGTCCAACCATGGTGAAAACGCATAAAAGTGTCAGGACAAATTTAAATCAAACTCTTTCAACTTGTCAACAGCAGCGATAAATTCCACTTTTTAAATTATATATTATTAGTTATTTATCAAAATGATAACTCATAAAAGAAAATATTTCATAAGTTTAATAATTTCCAATAAACATATATATATATATATATATATATATATTTATTTTTACTTTAGGTTTAGATATAAGTATATTTCATTCAAGTTAATGTTTATTTAACAATAGACAAGTAATCATTTATTCTAATGAAATAAATTTTTTCCAAACGATTATTATGTCTGATTTAAAATTACTTCTACTACTGATAATTAATAAAGATTACCATCTGGTTCTGTCTGACTAAAACATTTTTGTACTACTGATGTAAAAAATAAAATTTACGTTTACTAGTTCTATAGAGAAAATTACAGCAAATTTACATAAATAATCAAAATTACAAAATACTTTATCTGACTAAAGTTTTCGTTGACTACTGCAGAGAGTTGATAAATAAACGTTTGTATGTTAATTTTCTGTACTTTTTATATAAATTCACATGTACTTTTATATAGCTTTCGAAAATTTTAATTATAGTTCTGCCTGATTATAATTACTGTACTAGGATGAAATATGTTAAAATAACAACTCGATGTCTGACTAACACTTTCTCTTACTACTTCTCAGAAAATTACAACGAACTTCATTTCTTGTTTAATTAAAAAGTTATTTTTATAAATTTCAAGAGAAATAATGAATGAATTAATTCAAAATTAATTTAGCGTGTCTGACTAAAACCGTTTTTTACTACTGATACGATAAACTAATTTTTTCTGGATTATTACAATTATATTATACACAGTAAAACGTGAAGTGTTAAACTAACACCAGAATGGATTAAAATAATCTGCAACAGTTTAATCCCTCTAGGATTAAATTAACACCAGAAAGGATTAAAATACTCTATTTTGGTATTATTTTTAATTATGAATGAAATTGTACTTTAAATAAAACACCAAAGTCAACGATTTGTAAAAATTCAACGAATTTAGCTTCTCCAGGGAGAATAGTAAGTTAGTTACTAACTTACTAACTAACTTCACGGTAAATCGTTAGGTATTAAAATAACACCAAAATGGATTAAAATAACACTAAA